CTCCTGCAGCTAACCACAGCGGTCGGCTGTCAGAACTAACTATTGGAGGTGAATCCAGATCAATGTTAAGAACGTGCTGGTGCCTGGCATCATTAGTGTGATGGTGTGATTGGTGTTTGCTCCCCAGTGACAGGTTGTTCTCGAGCAGTGACCTCATTAGCTATGAACAGCACATCTTGGGCATTTTTCACGTGACTGTGACCGTAACTGTTAATTGTAGCCTGGAAGACCTGCAGAGTTGTCTCTGATCAGATGTTCCCAATTGCTTTGAACCTCCCTTACATGTCAACCAGCTGTTTACGGACACTCAATGTAGCCCAATGCCATAATTTTTTATTTCTTTGGCAAGCGGATTTAGTCATTGTGTTTTGCAATGCAGCTAGCCATGTCTGAGGCAAAGGACAGTGGTGCACGGGCTTCAGCTAGCTGTGGGGCAGGTCAGCTTAGACTCAGGCTTATCTAAAATGCTCTGGGGGTCCATTTCAGACTAGAGTCTCCCTAGGAAAACCCTTCCTCTGGGATGATGGAGGGATTTGGGAAAAAACATCCTGGAGTGTCCCACTGCCTCGGGCTCGTGTAATTCAAAGCAACCAAGGAAAGGCAGAGTCCTAGGAAATGGTAGAAAACCTGCTACTGCCTTCAGATGTTTCTTGTACCTTCAACCTTCTTCAAAACCTGCTCTTGCTTTCACATCTGTCATCAATGCAAGAAATGCTGCCTTGGTGTCCCTCTACCAATAAATCCCAAATCAAATGTCTATCTAACCAACCCTAAAAGCCAATGAACAAAAGCATAGAAAGCTGACAGCAAAGGTTACTCTCCTGGTTCTGAAAAGAGGCATGAGTGAGGCCCCCCGGGAACCCCTGACATCTCTTCTTCCAATTTTTGGCCTCAACTCAGATGGACGCTGTGGCATTGGACAGCAGAGCAAAGGCGGTGCTGGTTTCCTGTGCCATTGCTGCCGTATGTGTGCCCAACCAAAGCCACAAGCAGTTACTGATGGGAACTTAATCTTTGGTTTTGACACTTCTTTGAGGTTTAATTATTTGTAATGGCAAGTGAACTTGCTTGGATCTCTGTCACTAGCGTGTCCCAGCAAAGGGAGCAGTTTGTGTCTGGCACCAGGTGATGTGGTGGTCTCGGAAAGCTTGCATTCCCAGTTGGCACTGTGAATTACAGACTGGGTTCCTGCATTTAACCCTGTCTTGCTGAGCTCCATGCAGTAGCACAAGGACCATGTGTGTGGTAGCCCACCCTGCCTGCGTGGGGAAAGCTTTGAGCAGGCGTGGCTTAAAAACAGCTTTAGGACTCTCCTGATGAGGAGGAGATGCAGCACAGAAGGGCAGGTTGACTTCAGAGGAGCAGGAACATCCCAAAGTACCTGCGTTGTGTGGCACGTTCCCATCTCGGAGGCTCTGGACCCCCTGGGGACTGGGCAAAGGTGCACAAAGCAACTCGTGCTTCTTCGTGCATGGGATTCAGTTTCCCTTGAAACGTATGGAGGCATCTCTTTTACACTGGAGACACATTTTCAGTGTTCTTTCTACAATTCTGTGGGCCCACCCATTTTCTTATAGCCAGGCTAAGATGCCAAAGGAGCCATGTGCTGGAGATGGCAATGCCAGAGCCTTGACAGTGCCCCACTGTGCCCTGTGCCTCTTCGGCTGGCTTTTCTCTGCCATCCTGGTAATTTTTCTTCCTTTTCATTGCTCCCTTCCTGCTGCCAAGCCTTTCAGATTTGTCTGTGCTTATGTTACCGTGCTCGGGGGGGACTAACAGACTAATTTCCAAAGATGGGCCTGCAGGAGAGCGTTTGCAGAAGAGCTGTGGTGTGCAGCTCGCACCAAGCCGGTTGTGCTGCGCCTCATCTCTCTGCCAAGCCTGCCCTTTGGGTAACCTTCCTGCGGGGCTCTGGCAGAGGCAGCTCGCAGCAGCTCTTTCAAAGCCTGCTTTCCTCAGCCGGCCGCCTTGCCTCGTAGCTGGCGGAGGAGCGTTGTGTCACGCTGATGGATTTCCCAATGCGGCTGCAAGACCTCCATAAAAACGGACTTGTGCTGATATGGCAGGTTCTGAGCAGGGCAGCTGGGGAGCAGGTACACCTCCTGCTCCGCCACCACGATATGGGGATAACAGTGTTCAGCAGTAGCCTCTTCTGCAGATCAAGCGAAGTTTAGCAGAGTTGAGAGGCGAAACAGCAATTGGATTAAACTGCAGTTTTCCCTTTTGTCTTATGCAGGCATAGCAGAGCAGCTCATCCTGGCGTCCCTTAGGAAACGATCGTTGTGTCCTGCAGGGATCAGCTGCTGTTATTAAATCCCGCTTTTTCCCTGCGTGCGCTTTTCTGCAGGGCTGCGTTGAAACGTGCTGCCCTTGCTGTCCCAGAGCGGCCGGGAAGGGAACTGCTCGTTCCCGCTGGTTGAGCATGAGGGGTGATCCTGGCCGTGCCCTGGGAGAAACCTCAACTGCAAATACTGCAAATCGCTTTTCTACTTTCCTGATACTGAGGTAGGAGAGTTACAGCATGCGCATAGGCATCTCCGTGCACCAGCAGGCCTACAGCCAAGGGGAGGAGGGCTCAGCACCTCCGTTGCAGCCTGTTGGGTGCTGGAGGCCGCAGTGGTAACCCAGGAGTACCCTGGTCCTTCTGAAGGCGGCGGTGGTGTCTGATTTTCTGGTCCCCCAGGTGGGCTCCCAAAGAATCGCCTGTTCTGATGGTGGTGTGTGATGTACAGGCTGCTGCTGGGTTGTCTCGCTGTTTATTTGTAGGGAGTGAAATTGATGTGCGGATCAATTGGTGGTTTTAGTTTTAACTGAGTGGGAAGAGCATGGTGTAGCTGTGCAGGCTGTTATCTCTGCCCAGTTTGATCTTCCTACTCGTGGATGCTGCAGGCCTGTGGCTTGGTTTACAGCTGGTGGGTGAGGAGCCAACGCTGAGGGAACCGGAGCGTGGCCCTGAAGGTCTGAGCCAGACCATTGTGTTCCAGCCCCTTCTGTTGCCGTCTCCTCTCTCTGACCCCCATCTAACTTGATTTTCACGACAGGCTCACTCTAGGAGAGTGACTCTCCCCTTACCTAGCCCTCTTCACGGTGATGGCTTTCCCAAGTTGCCTAAAACGTTCATGGCAAATGCCTGAATGTCAGAGATGCTCGTCCCTGCTGCAGAAGCTCATGGATATGGGTTTGGGAAAGCTGTAAACAGGAGGATTGCCCCATTCCTGGTGGAGTGGAGTGTGGCAGATCAGGCTGGAATGCCAACCCCTGCTCTTCTGCTTCTGGTTGGGGTGGATTTCTTGCAGCGGCAATACCATCCATCTCTGTTTAGAGACCTGTGTAGAGGGGGAGGGAACAGGGGATTCCAGAAGAGCCTGAAACTGTTTACACAAAACTCTTTGTCTAGAGGTTTGGAGCTGTGCTGGTTAAAGCCAATGCTTCTGGGCGTCTCAGTTTGTGTGGACCAGTTGTACTTTGAGCTTAGCTGTGCGAGGCTGGTTTCCCTTCTCGTGCTGCAGGCTGGGCCCACTTTGTAGGGCTGCCTGCGTGTTGGGTGTTATAGCGTGGTGTACTGTGGAGTTGGGATGGAAGATAAATGTTGGGAGGTGTGGAGTGCAGAGGGGGTGGTAGTTTCATGCCTAGCACATTGGCATGGGAGAACGTAAGTTTTAAATACTCCCTTTTTAAATAGTTGTCTCTACAGTGAAGTTTCCTTCCTTCAGCCAGACCGTCTGTTCTTATGCCAGCATTTTGTGGGTCATGGGGAAGATGCTATCTGGTGTTTCTAGAACATGAGAGCAGTAGGTGGGTAGAAGAAAGGGTTCAGCCCCTCTGAGCGAGTGGGTTGAAGGAAGGTGCTCTGTCTCCGCCGCCACCTCTGTGGGCAGCACTGCCCAGCTGAACCACACAGGCTGGCCCGTCGCTTTTCCAGGGACAGTACAGCAAGGCTTTGAGTCTGATTACTCATTTAAAGTATAAAAAGGAGAGAGTAACTAAGAAGCCAAAGTTGAGCCGCTAATGGGTTTCACTTTCCAGTTTCTGATGTGGTGACAGTATTTAAGTTTGCGCGTTTCCCCCCTCAGATAGTAATTTGTTTTAATAAAGAATAAATGTGACCAAGTTCTCAAAGCATCTGCTTTCAGATGAATACTTTACAAATGCTTCAGGGTTTTTTTACCCTGTTACTGCCATGGCACGATACTTCAGTGCACTTCCCTTTCCATCTGAATTTTGAACTGCATATTCATGGCATTTCCAATACCTGGTTTCAACTGGTTGATGTGTAAAGAGAGGATTTCAGGAGTGCAAAGATGACGCAGAAGGCAGAGGCACATTCTTGCATTCCCAATTCAGCCAGTATCACTGGACCTAGTGTCTGCTGAGGACAGAGTATCACATTGCCCTGATCATTTGTTCAGCTCCTCCGGCTGCTAAACAAACTCTTGTGTGCTCTTGCTGCAGGGGTGGGTGCTATGCCGGGGCAATGAAATTAAACAGTTTTAAAATCTTTTTCTTTCTGGTTGAAAAATGGTTTTCTGATTCAAATGTGAAGATACCATCAGATGGCTCAGCCCAGCGTGTGATGAGTAGGCTATGGGTTCATACTTCAGCTGACTGATAACCATTACAGTGGAAAAATTACACAAATTATCTTGCTGAGAGACTGGCTTACTTCACTCAACCTGCCTGAATGTGTATTTTCCTGGCAGGGCCATAAATGGAGCTTCCGCTTGATTATCTTCTCCATCAAAGCAGTAATCTCATTTTTTTAAAAAAATTATCATAGCACCTTTTAAATTGAGGCTGAGGTTACATAGGCACCCAAAATTCTGGTAGCCTGGGGATCACACAAATGAGTCAGCATGACCAAGATTTGAGTATAGGTTGGAAGATACAGTACTCTTCTGTAATAAAGTGTAGAACTATCCCTGTTGAATTGTACTCATCATATAACCTCATTGGAGCTTTTATTTAGAGCACCAAATATTCTCCCGTTGATTCTTTTACAGGCTCATGACGAAGTCTGCCCTGAGTTTCCGCTGACTTGCGAAGGCTGTGGGAAGAAGATTCCAAGGGAGAAGGTGACTGTTGGTGAACCGTGCGCCTCAGTGGCGGTTGGGGTCCTGATGGACTGACACCAGCATTCTTGGAACAGGGAGGAAAACCAAAGTCTTTTAGAAAGTGGAGTGGGGAAGACAATTAAGTGGCAGCCGTTAGTACAGACGTGACCTTTCCATAAGGGTCAAAACACTGGTAGGGTGCAAGTGAACGTGACTCATTGGCACTTCTGTTTTTGTGTTCGTGTTGCCGACACCACCTCCCTTTTAGTAGGGTGTTTGGGTGTAGAGCCTCCATGGGAAAAGCACGCCCGTGGGTTTAAAGGGTACTTATGTCCTGTGTAAAGCAACTATATCAACCACTGCTGCAATTACAGAAAGGGAGTCCATCTCCAGCTAAATTAATTTATTTCTAATTAACCATGTAATGGAATCCATGTCTATAGGGCCTCCATGCTGCTGGGGAAAGCTTGAAAGTCTGAACGCCAAAGTTTTGGGAAACATCTTCAAAAAGCACGTTCATCTGAAACTGTCCTGTCTGCTGCGGGCAAATAGTTTTAGTAGCACTGTTGCAAAAGGCCCCTGTAGCAGGACAGGGGGACAGAAGCATCAAAAAGATGAGCAAAGAGTTCTTCAGAATGGGCAGGGTGATGAAGGACTTCATGCTGGGATCTTGGGATATAGACCTGCTTGTCTACAGGCTGAAGCTGGAGCCCAGCAGAGACTAGGCTTGTAGGATTCCCATAGGTGATCTATCCTTTGTTTAAATATTAACCCCTGCTTTTTTATGTCTCTCTAAACTTTTGTTGATCAGTTGCAGCCATTGTAACTCTGCGTAACGTGACTCATTAAGCAAGCCAGATGGATCTAGGAGCATTTAAAAAAGTGGTTTAAAACCAGTTTTAATCAACATCTGTCATAGCAGATGTAGGTGTTAAATGTGGAATATGGTGGTTGTTGAGAACAGACCACTGATATCTGATGATGCGAGGTATATCAAAAACAAGATGATACTGTGCCAGTGCTTCTTAGCATTTATCATGCACTGTGTGGGAACCCAAGCGAGTCATCTTGGCGGCTGGGTGGTTAGTGGCACTTCTCTGTAGAAATATCCATCATTGGCCTTGGTTCTTCATGGCAGCTGCCAGATGAGAAGTGGCTGAGGTGCAGTGTCATTCGGCACCGCAGCGAGGGGATGCTGCACCCAGCAGAGCATCCTCCCTTGCACAGGCGGACCTGCAGGAACTGCTTAAATACTCAGGCAGGACCACCGGGAAGCTTTTTGTTTTCGGATTTGTAATGCTTAGCTGGAATTTAAAATACCAAGCTGTGGCACGTCCCAACCAGGGTTACACAAAGTGCACAGAATTAAAGGGCTCGCTGTTTTGTAGGGTTGTTCCTCATGCCTCCCTTCCTCCGCTCTCAGTGAAGCTTGCTGCTCAGCATCCATAACATGTACCTGTGCTGGTTGCTTTTTCTTTCTTGCATATGCATGTGAGAAGAGAGACCTCCTAGCCATCAAGAGAATGAGAAATAAAACTTCCTTCTCGAGGTGTCAGTGCTATATTTATATTAAAGTGAAAGTCATGCCTAATGGTAAGCAGTGCCCAGGTTTAACCACGCACTTTGGCAGCTGGTGATGAGCCATGGCTTGGGCATTCTTGACATCGTCTTCAGTTTAACAGACATCAGCGAGACAGAAAGGGAGCTACTGGGAACACATAAGATCTAACATTGCCTGCCTTCCTTTCTAGTTTCGGGACCATGTGAAGACTTGTGGCAGATCTAAAGTGCCTTGCAGATTTGACGTTGTCGGATGTGCTGAGGTGGTAAGGGCTTGTCTGTTGATGTTTATCTTGGGACTTGTTTTCAGTTCCAGTGTTGGAGGTAACCTGCAAACTGTTGTTGCCCAACCTGTTACAGATGTTTGCGTTCAGATACTTGGACAAAGTAGTGTTTCAAACCCTTTGCAAATGGAGCTTAGCATCATCTGCTGTCCAGAGTTTGGGCATCCAGGGAATGAACTTAATGTGGAAGGAAACTTCCTCTTCCTTGAGGAACACCCTGAGACTCTGGTGGTTATGCTGCTTTCAGCTGTAAGCACAGCTCCTGCTAGAGCTTGGGCCAGGCCGTATTTCTCCATGTGGCTTAGTTTTCCCAGCTCCTACTGGTGATGTTTGTATAAATCCCTCCTTGGGGGGATTAGGTGAGGCTTTGTCCTTTGGTGCTGTTTAGTACATCTGACAGAGCCCTTTTGGGAAGCAATGGAGGAAGACAGAGTAGAACAACGGAAACGTTAAGCATCTGCATTGTATGTCATTTGCAGCATTTCTGAAACAAATACCACCACCCCACTTGTCCCCAAAACAGTTTTTTTTAACCATCTTTCTTTGGTTTTTCTCCTTTATAATTTAAAGCTAACTTTGTGACTTCAAGAGGAGGAATTTGTTCTGTGGATGGTGACAGTGTAGACTGAGCTTGCTGAAAGGGGGATGTATTTCTCTTCATGTAGGTGGAAAATGAAAAGCTACCAGAACATGAAAGCAAGTGTTTGGCGGAGCATCTGTACATGCTACTGAGTTTTGTGCTCAGCCTCAAGGCTGGGTCTGGAGACCTGAAGCCCCTTCCTACCCTTTCCTCGTCGCAAAACAACTCGCCAGTACTGGCAGCAAACTCTCTGTGCTCAGAGTCGGAGCTCTCCAGGTCCCTGGAGCTCTTGGGAAGATGTGAGGCTCTTGAGAGGAAAACAGTGACCTTTGAGAACATTGTTTGCGTGCTTTACAGCCGGCAGCATCGACTAGACCAGGAGAAAATTGAAACACTGAGTAACAAGGTGTGTAACCACTGGCTTGGGCTTTCCAGCACTTTGAGCAGAGACTTTTTTTCAGTTTCCTTTCCATGTTATTAGCTAGCAAAGCTTCACCACCTAGTCCTGAAACTCCACAGATCTAAAATGTCATTTCTGCCTGTGCCCAACCCTCCCAAGCTTCCTGGAAAAGATGGGAATTAAACTGACATGCATAAAGTGTTGAGATCTCTGTTAGTAATCAAGTTACGCAGACACTGCGATGCTGTTCCTTAGTTACAATGAGAGACTGAGCACTCAGCATTTCCCTGGATCTCTCCGAATCCGTGGCGCTGCTCATCTTCCACATCTTTCAATAGGAGTGTAATCATTGATGCTGTGCAACAGCACTTTGTGCCAAACACGGTCTGGCGGTGTAAAGAAGCTGCCCAGAAGTATGCTCCAGTGTGGTCCCTGCTGAGCACTGCAGCTGGGAGTCACGTAGTTTGCAGTGTACCTGTGCGCTCTCAGCAAGGGAGATGCCAAAACTGGTGTGACCCGAGGTTAGCTAGCAGTGATTAACCCTCTGGAAACCTTGTTGGCTGGGTGTAGGTTCTTCTTTTTCTCAGTCTAGTTCTGTCACAACGCTGAGTTGATTTCTGCCCCCCCCTCACTTCTTGTGCTGCAACGTAACAGAGCTGCTTGTTGGGAGGATTTTTCCATTGGCTGTGGGAAAGTTTCCAGCTCAAGCACTGAGTTGTATCGATGTATAATGACAGGGTTCAAAAGGAACGTTCAGTGAATTGGCTTACGATGTTAAATTTCTCCCTCCTGTGACCTCTGTCAGTTCTGGAGAACGTCTCTCACTAAAGGGTCATCCTGAAGGGGATGCTGGTGTCTGCTGGCTTTCTCAGGTCTCACAGCAGTACGTGTTTCTAACCAGGCTGCACCGTGTGTCCCACTGAGCAGGTCCGGCAGCTGGAGAGGAGCATTGGGCTCAAAGATCTGGCCATGGCTGAGATGGAGGAAAAGATCCGCAACATGGAAGCTTCCACCTACGATGGTGTTTTCATCTGGAAGATAACCGAATTTGCCAGGAAGCGTCAGGAGGCAATAACAGGCCGTTCTCCTGCGATCTTCTCTCCAGGTTGTTGCCCATACATTTGCAAAATAGCAAAAGCCTTTTTTGTGTCTTGGCTGGGTGTGGGGTTTGTAGTGGTGTCCTTAGTAGGGGAGATGCTGGTCAGTCAGGTGTATTTCTGTTCTGTCCCCCTTTCCCCGTGGAGGCTGAACCACGTGTTGTTTTGTTGTTTTTGTTTTTTTTTTTTAGCATTGGGCTAAATGAAACTGCTGCTGAAAGAGGTGCTTTTTTGATTGCAGAAGACCTTTTTAATTTCTCATAATGGAGATTGTAAGCCTCTTAGCTCTGGAATAGCCCTGAATAACCCTTTAGTTAGAATCAAAATACTCGAAGACCGTAAAACCAGCAATAAAATAGTTAAGGAAGGGAGGAAATATATATTGGAGCCACAGAGATACATTTTAGTGCCTTAAACTGTGATGGTGCAAGAGAAAATCTCTAAATAAAGCCCAAACCATTCCTAGGGAAGTGCTTGAATATCTGTTAGAGGAAGGGGCTCTCCTTGCAGAACTGCCCCAGCCCAGCACTGTTCTTCCTGTTCTTAAAAAAAGACAGTCTCGGACAGTGAGCAGTAGGTTACGATCTAGCTTGTTTGCTTACAAAAGCACTTCCCAGGCTTGCTGCTGTAAGATCAAACCATCTCTTCACACAATTTTGCTGCTCGGTGGGGAGCTCACCTCACAACAAAATGGTTGAGGGAGGGGAGTTTGTGTTTGCCTGAGCAGGAATCACTTGGATCTGAGCGTGCTGGAGAGCTTTTTCACAATGCTCAAAGCTGCATGCCCAGAGCAGGTACCTTACGCCTGCTTCCTGGTGCTGTGAAAAAGCAGACTGTGGCTGGGCCACAAGGGTAAAAACAATTGAATTTTTAAAACTACTTTAAAATCTGTTTTCTGGATGAAAGCTGTTCTTTTTCTCTTGAAAAACTGAAAGAAAAAAAAAAAAAGGATTCCCCACCTTGAGGGAAACTAAACTGCTACTGAAACTGTGTGCATGCAATTAGCATTTCCTTTTAAAAGTCAGCAGCAGCCGTGGAAAACCCCTGCTCTCTGTCCCCTTTGGGAAGGGCAGCGCTTCCTTCCTTTTCCCAAAGCCGACAAATCTGCTTCAAATTTATTTTGTTTGACTTAGAGAGGAGCTTAAATCTTGCATCCTGTACATCCCCTGCACCCTGCTCGAGAGCTGCTTGACCCAAATGTCTTCAGGGGCTGTGCTTTGGAGGGAGGTGCTGGGCAGAGCTGAATCTCGTCCTCTGGCCATGGGCATCCTGGCTCACTGTGCCCCACTCAGGGGCTCCTCCAGCCCCTCCGTGGGCTGATGCTGCCGGGGGTCCTTGAGGGAGGGCCTGAGATTTGATTTTCTAGGTTGGAGAATAAAGGCAGCTGGTGGAGGGATCAGAGTCAGCTCAAGGGAGGGAAAGGGGTGAAACTTCTCCAAATGCAGGAGGCTTCCTTTGCCTTAACATCTGATCAGCTGTGCTCCTTCTGGAATGGCAGCTCATCGTTGCTGGTGCCTCCTCCTCCATGCTGCATGCTGGCCGGTCTCCACCGCCTGCCTGGCAGCAGCGGCAGGGCTCAGGGCTTTTGCAAAAAGTTTCATCAAAGCAAAAACTACTTGGTGGGCCAGCAGACTGTGTTTTGTCTTGCTGTCTGGTCTCTGCGATCTGCTCGTGAGCACCTTGTACATGGCTGGAGGAATTGGAAGGTGAGGGCTGCCTCTGCCTAATGCCGGGACTGCTTCTGGAAAAGGCAGGACTTTTTTTTTTTTTTTTTTTTTATCTTACAAGTGCAAAGTACAAGGGCTTGTTTCCTACAGTACTTGAGTGTGTCATTTACGAGAGACTCATTCCTGGTGCTGCTTTACCTGAGAAAATTAGGCTGAGAAACAAATGTTTCCTGTGGAGGCGGGTTTTTTTTTTTAATCTTAGAAAGTGAAGCAAATAGACCAGTGCTGTTCGGTCTGGGAAGGAGAGAGCTGAGAGGTCTAGGTTGTGAATGGGATGAAAATTCAAAAAGGGACATTAGTGTAATTGTTTGTTTTGCATTTAAACATAAAGGCGAGGAAATACGAAATGAAATTGGTATTAAAGAGAAGGAAGCAGAGTTACCACTCGCTTGCATTGTGGGAACACGACAACTGCTACAGAATTTTGGAAGGGGCAAAATCGGAGTTCCAAAAGGCAAATCCACGCAAGAAAGGTTCATCAGGGCTGTGACCCAGGACAGTCCGAAGTGAAGCTCTCACTGGAAAGCCACCCGCTGCTGGCCATCAGATGCCAGGGGTGGCTTGCTGGGCTCTTGCTTCCCTTCCGATGTGCTTTGCCTTTGCTCAGGCCGGTGGGAAGCAGGATGGCCAGTTCTCTGCTCTGAGCTGGCAGCGCGGTGCACAAGGTGTTGAGCACTCAGGCTGTCTGGTGCCTTTTGCTGGTTACTCCCACCGCTCTGGGGCCATCCTTCCTGCAGTTCCCCACCTGGTTTTACATTCACGGGGTCACAGGAGTGCTGAGAAGCCATGAATGGGCAGTGAGGATGTGCTGCTTGGACTAGCAGAGGGTGGCATCTGCCCTGATAGCCTTTGGGTGGAGAGGAAGGACTAGAGGAAACAAGTTGGGGAGTGCCAGGAGGGAAGCGAGAGACAAGGCTCTGATCTCTTGCTCCTTGCCCTGTGGAAGTGCACAGCAGCTAGTCTGCGGGTTCATAAAAGTGCACAGAGTCCTGCAGTAAAGTGCTGGCTCTGATCTCCTGCCCCGTGCCCTGAGGCCTCGCCAGACCTGAGGCATGTAACTGTCGCTGTGAGAGGGCAGTTTGCGACAGGTCCTCTTCCAAGACATGTTTCTCTGGCCCTGCGTGGGTCTGGTACCACAACGTGGGCATTCCCAGAATTGCTGGAGAAGGAGAGGGCCTGAGATCCCAGAGCCCATACCCAGCCATGCCCGTGCTGTGTGGAGGGGCTGGGATCCTAACGGCAGACTGAAGCTCACTTGCTTGAGCCTCTGCCCCCATCCGCGGCAGCCAGCTTACGAAGAGGGTGCAGCAAGTACTGGGAATGGTCTACCCTGAGACAGGTTGGGGTGGGGGATGGGGGGGGATCATTTTGTTCCTGCTTGTCAGTGTTGTTGCTGTGAACTGCAGCTCCTTTAGCAGTGGTGTGCAGCGCAGCTGGTGGGTCTGCGGAGGATGTGGGGGAAGTGCACAGCTCCTGGGCTTTAGCTTCAGGCTGTGCTCAGGGCCCTCATACCTGCGATGGCAGGTGGGGAGAGCCCGAGGGGCTGGCTGGTGCCCTGCTCTGTGCCACGGCGCTCTGTGTCTCAGCTAGACCAGGGGCTTGTGACTGCCTGTCTCCAGGCTGGTCTAAGGTGGCATCTGACTGTTATTTGTTCCTTGTGGCTTTCCAGAGCACCTCCGTGGTGCAGGTATTTTAAGACCCAGACCTAGTTTCTTCCAGGATCTGAATTTGAGAGTTCTCAGGAGTTCGAAGCAACCTGTCGGTGCCAGGCTTTGCTGGGGTTGGCACTCACTGTGTCTGTTCTGCATGTCTTTGATAGCTTTCTACACGAGCAAGTACGGCTACAAGATGTGTCTGCGCGTTTACCTGAATGGGGACGGCACAGGGCGTGGGACCCATCTGTCCTTGTTCTTTGTGGTGATGAAAGGACCCAATGACGCGCTTCTGCGATGGCCCTTCAACCAGAAGGTAGGTTTGGGACAAAGCCTGCTGTGCCCAGCAATGTGCCTCTCTGGTTTTGCACCTACTTAAGCTTCTAGGCGTCGTTGGTCTGGCCTACTTAGCAAGCAGAAGAAGAAGGAAAGACTTTGATATGTCACCGCCCTGGGGATTCCCCAGTCGTGCTGAAAGCACTGAGTGTGCTACAGGGCAGGGGCACGAGACCGCAGAGGCTGCGGCAGGAGAGCAGCAGCGGGTTTGGAAAGCGAGCGGAGCCTCTGCGTGAATTCAGGGTGAGGGAAGGTTGTTGTGGCCTCGGTACTTGGGGTGCAGCTGATGCTGACTCGACATCGGAAGCTCAGGTTGCCGTTCCTAGACATGGCAGGTTTGTGAAACACTTCAAGGCTGAGCAGGCAAAGTACTGATGCAGAGAGAAGGGACGCCTTTCTTCACAGGGGGACAGCATCTCTGTGACTTAATGAAATACCTGCCTGGGGTGTTGGTGTTGGGAGCAAACGCCGCGCCAGCCAGTTGTAGGTTTTCAGAGTCAGTCTGGCAGTCCTGTGCTGCCCCACTGAATTTTCCAGTGACAGGGCAGGATGTGGGAAGGTTTCTACAAAATGTCACCAAGATGATGTTCTCTGCTGACCCTACTTACAGGCATTTTTCAGATTTGTAGGCATGCGATGTGGCTGCGGTTGCATTGGTTTCACAGGCTTCCAGGGAGTAGGGTACCGGGCTGGGTTTCCACCTGCCTTTGATTCAGCCGCTATTGTATATTTTCATGTTTCCCCACAGGTAACCCTGATGCTTCTGGATCAGAACAACCGGGAGCACATCATCGATGCCTTCCGACCCGATGTGACCTCCTCCTCCTTCCAGCGACCCATCACGGAAATGAACATTGCCAGTGGCTGTCCGCTGTTCTGCCCCGTCTCCGTGATGGAAGCCAAGAACTCCTACGTGCGTGATGACGCCATCTTTATTAAAGCCATCGTTGATCTCACGGGCCTCTAACCCTTCTCACCTCCGGGAGCAGTGAATGCAGAGCCAGCCCCGAGTGGGGTATCCCCCTCCTGCGCTGTACTTCAGGCAGGTCTCAGAGCGAGGAGGGGGCAAAAAGCAGAAAGGGAAAAGCCCTTCCCAAAAAGGGACCTTCGCTCTGAGTGGAAACGAGGTGTCTGATGGGAACCCTCTTCCCCGGTGTCAGAGAGACCTTCCACGAGAAGAGGTTTGGGTGGACGTTCACAGTCTGCAGGGTACAAGAAGATCTCCTGCAGGGACTTGAGTGTCTGAACTGCTGTTCTCTGGGCTCCCAGTGGAAACCAGTGCAGCTCCTGCTTTACCAGTTTAGTGCTCTGTAGTAAAACAAGGGTTTGGCCTGCCCAAGCACCACCTCGTGTGGATGTTTGGCTTGGCTATCTAGGATTTTCTTCAGAGATCTCTGTGTTTCTGGAAGTTTTGTGTGCTGCAACAGCACTGTTGCTCTGTGCTGCTGGCTGGCCTGTGCCTTGGTGGACAGGAAGGGTGCGTGGCAGACTTGGTGCGAACTGGGCAAGAGGTGCGAACTGTTTTGTCGCTGTTCTGATGCCATCAGTGTCTAGAGAGCAGTGCTGAACCAAGCTGTGTGGCAGGTGGGGGAGCAGTACCTCGCGTCTGGCCCTTGCTGTGTGTCTGGTGGGTGGTTTGTGCTCAGAGCAGCGTGCCAGGAGCACAGGATGGGGCAGACAGTGCCCGCTGCCAGGGAGGCAAGTGTGGGGCAGCACCAGGGACGCCTGCAGTGAAAGAGTGAATTTCCCCTGGAGACTGCCTGTCCTGTCCCGGGAGAGGAGGGTGACGCAGGGCTCAGTGCAGGACTTTGGCCCCATGAACCTGGGGAGCCCCAGGTGGGTTTTTAGCCAGACCCTCCCATTTTCTGCCTGCCTGTACCTGAGCAGTACTGGGCAGGATGGTGGCAGTGCTGGAAGCTGTCTTTACTCACACACAGGTGCTCCTGACCTGGCTTTTAGCCCCATCACGGGGCCGCTGCAGCAGCACAGGCATACCAGCATTCCCAGGGACCCCTCCAGCTGCCGAGCACATACACTACACCTCTGCTGCCGTCTGCGCCTGTGCTGCTGCCATCCGTCTGCACAGGCACTCTCACGTCTGCGGCTGCGGCACAGACGGACGTGGCCTGTCTCTTGTCCACCTGCATGGTGGGTGGCTGCTGGCCAGCCCCTACCCTCCCTGAGGGCCTGCCGTACCCACCAGCAGCAGCTTTCTCCCGTCCTTCCCTCGACTCTGGGAAACCCAGTGTGCCTGGTCATTGCACAGCGGAGCGCACTCTCTCTTCAGCCCTGTGTTGAGCCTGCAGCCACCTGGGTAGGACCTGGGGTCACTGGAGAAGTCCCCAAGTGAAGTTTGCTGTCCTCTTGTTGTCCCTGGGTTCCTGGCAGTGCTTCCTTCTGCGGAGCGAGTGTTCAGCAGCCGTGAGAAGGTCTGTATTTGTGGAGAAGGAACTGATGCCATGTCCCTGCGTTGTGGCTGGCTGGTCCCTCTGGAGTTGTTTAGTTGTGACCATGAGTAGCTGTGGGCAGGCAGTCGGCCAGGGTGCACTCCTGAGGCTGTGCTGTCTTCTCTGTGCTCCCTTCACCCGGGTCAGTGTACAAACCTGTCCCAGGAGAGATTTTGTTGGTCACAGGAGCTGGTGCTGAACCCACCTTGCCATAGTAGACCAGGACCCTGTCCAGCACCCTGCCAGGAGGGTGGGCCACGAGGCTGGAGGGTGGTCTCTGTGTTCTTGCTCATGGCTGCCGTGGACCACCTTTGGTGGCTAGCGGTGGAGGAGGGCCCGAAGCCCCTCTCTGCCAGCAGCTCCCTGCCTGGTGCCCAGCCTGACGGGCGCAGAGCCCTCCTTGCTCGTGTTCTGCTCCACCTCTGCTCTGGTTGTAGCCACACAGCTGCCCCAGTGGGGTCAGGGATGCTGTCAGTGGAGATGAGCTGTCACTCAGCCAGGGCTGGCTGTCCCCCTGCCTGGTGGCAGTGCCCTGATCGCTCCTGGGGTGGTTTGGGGTGTCCCCACTGCTGCCTGGTGAGCTCGGTGGGTGCCTGATGTCCTTCTCCAGACTGGTGAGTAGCTAAGCCGGACCCTGAGCCACGCTGAACCTCCTGGGTTGAGGTGCTGCGCTGGCTGGGGGGCTCTCCCTGCCTGTGGGTGGGTGCTGGGACGACCTTTGAGCCCCCCCATGACGTCTCTGTGTGGATCTTGCCGTACCTGTTGCATGCAGAGGCTGTGGCTGGGGGCAGACGCAGCTGTTTCAGCAGGCGGAGTGGGACAGGAGTGTGTGCCAGTGCAGCAGTGGGGGGTGCGGGTCAGGCAGGGTGGGCTGGGGAAGCTCCTGGCACGGCTCCCCCATACTGTGCCAAGGTGAGGGCAGACAGGCAGCGGGTGCGTGTCCACCTGCAGCGGCGTGGGGCCGGGCAGCTGCCTGCGCCC